ACTCTCCTCTCCTCCCTCCTTCTCTTCCTTCCTCTCTCTCTCTCTCTCTCCCTCCCTCCCTCCCTGTTTCACGCGGCCTGTAATTTCTTCGTCGACAGGGATTTTCACCATGAGGGCATAGAAAGCAATAACAACGTCGGAACCGAGCGGTAACAAACGAGCACCAGGCAGCGAGAGAATAATTTAAAAGGAGGAAGCGTCGTTTATACGCGGCGCCACTAGCTCTTTCTCTTTTTGATCCTCTCGTCCCGTGTTATACAGGGTAACCCAGAATCCCGGTGGGCGATACGTGGACACGCGGAGAACGGTTTTATATATATGCAAAAAGTGAGTCGAAAAAGAAGAGGTACGAATAATAATTGGTAAGAGATTATTCTGCTCGGTAAAAATAAAAAAAGATAAAATATAGAATAAAATTCGTTCGTTTAAAACTTAATTATCGATGAAATTGAGATTGAAAATTTGTGCATTTTACAATTTTTCATAAAGTTTTTAATCACTTTTGCAACATTTTACTTGTTCTCGCATACAAGATTAACTATCGAATTTCAATTTTCACTTTAACAATTTATTTAGCCAACAATCGATCAAACTTATTATTTTTCTTTACACTGCCCACCACTTATTTTGGGACACCCTGTATAACAGAGCTCGTGCGTTTCGCCATAACCTTTCTTCCATTTCTCTTTCTCTCTCCTTCCCTCTTTTTCTATCTTTCCGTATTTTATACGCGCGCGCGCGCACACACACACACACATATAGACACGCTTGTGTACAGTTGCTTTGTCCGCCTCTTTCTGTTAGGCCAGGTTCTATCGCGATGCCGGCTACTTAGGATCAAGTTCCAGGTTTGAGGACGGTAGCCGGCGGCGGAAACACCTCGGAAACAGAAGCCCGTTCTGGCGGGTAGAACGAGATGAAAGGAAGCCGCCCAGCTGTGGACCATGGAAAGGAGAAACGTTGTTGCGACGCAATTATGATCGAATATAATGGGCCGCGAACACCGGATCGCCTTTGGAGCACGTATCGAAACACACCGCCGGCGAGAAACAGCCCCTTTCCTAGCCCCGTACTATCACCGTAAAGTGGATGATTTCGACCAGTCTTTTGCTACTTGTCCAAGGAAATTAACCCTGTGCGCCCCTTTTCCCCCGTCATCGTTGCTCCAAACGAAACGAAAAACGAACATTTATTTTCGAAATCGCGCAAGTAGTTTCGAGTTAAACGTTGATTGAAATTTCCGTTCCATCAAATTCGATCGTGCGGAATATCGATTTCCAAGAGAGTTTATTTCCTTACGGATTATCTTCTAGGGATTCTTATAACGTAATAATACGTAAAAATTCTTTTCTTCGCAGTGGGGATTATCACGTAAAAAGATAATTTCCTCCTCGTCGAATGTACGGGGCCGCGTTAATCCTTTCGTAAAATCTTTCTTAACTGTTAAATCCGATCCTTATTACTCGCCGACGACGTGGCGTCGTTAATTATCCTCAAGTGGCCTCAGCCGAGACGAGTATAAAAAAAAAAAAAAGAAAAAGAATATCAAAGTTCCGTTAACCGCGGCTAATCCGCGTAGCATCCGTCGTCGTAGAAAGGCAAGCTGGTCAGGTCGTAAATATCATTTACAACGGCAAGGCTCATCCTCGACCTAGGAGAACGTTTCACGGTATGAAATCAAGTTGGGAAAAACTATCGGCCTGTCCACGCTCCCCCTCCGAGGAGAATCGTCCCTTTCTTTCTTCGGGAGAAGAAAACTAAACTGAATTCGATCTCTCCTCTCCTTCGATTTTACGAGCAGGCACCCGAAGCGCCGCCGAAAAACCGCGACGAATCCGAACTTTCGAGCAGATCGTAAATAAAATTCACGACCCTGGGTCCCTCCCACACTTTGCGTAACCGCTTTATTATGCCATAAATCAAGCTGTCCCTGCGCGTGAACACCGGCCACTGTCCCGCGTTCGTGGAAATCCTCGTGAAATAAAAGAAAAAGAGAAAAGAGGAAGAATCTTTCCCCCGGAAAGGGAACACCCTTTAATCTTGAAACGACGATTCGATCAATTCGACGATACTTTTACCCGTCCGTTTCGTACGTTTGGTTATGGAACGTTACAAAGAGGCTGCATTGGATTTTGGTATTCTCCTTTTATCGTATTATTTCCTTTTTTCTTTTGTCGTTCCAATAATGAGAACAAAATAAGAGAGCTTAAGCTACATATAACAACTATCGATTCGACAAGACTTACAGTCGCCCTGTAAGCTGAGATTAAGTCTGTAACGCGATCCGAGTAAGAGTATATTCCCGTCACGAAGATTTTTCCGTGATACTTTTTGGAAAAAAGAAAAAGGAGCGTGTTAAAAGTACGCAAAAATTTGAAAACTTTCGTAATTCAATTATCCCCGATTAATCTGATTTTCGGAGGGAATTAATCATCGTCCGCCCGATCAATTTTCACAAGGGATGGAATTTCGTATTCTACGTAATCCATCCCCTTTAAATTTATAATCCTTCTGGATCCGCGTATAATTCGGTTGAATTCTCTCAAAGAACTTGTCCCGGTGCTTATGAAAACCTCTCTCTCTCACTCTCTTTCTCCCTTTTCTATTCCTCTTTCGCCACTCACGCTTCCCACCCCGACTGCTCCTTTTCCCTCCTTCCGTATCCGGCGCATTAGAGGGTGTTCTGGGCGTGAAGGTGTCCGTCATAATTTGCCAGACGGCGCATAATCCCCGTGACAAAGGCCGACAAAGTGACGGCTGTTACTGGCCGCCACCCTTTATCCAACCTGCTAAGATTCCGGTAGCAGGTAAAGCGTTTAAAGATTCCGAGCCGGATAGATGAATCACGACGAATCAGGACTCAACTGACTCCTGGATCGCACTCTTTGCTACTGTTGCTTTTGTCTCCTCTTTCGCCTGTTTTCTTTTGCCTGTGTTGCAAGTGTGTCGATCCTTTTTTTAACGGGTTATAACTGGCGCGATGGAAGAATCTCTTTCTTTTTCCACGAGATAA